TTACTCAACTTTTTCAAACCAATGCACCAAATACTGACTGCAAAGAGTATCAATATCCAATGTACAGTGGCACCCTCAAAAGTACTGTTCTCAATGTTATGGATCTTGTGCTAGTCCAGACTAAATCCGCTCACCAGATTTTCTGGAAGGTTGAAACAGTGGCTACCTGTTGCTGGCCACACTGCGATAGCTCCAGCCATATTTGTCAGATCTGCCCTTGGAATTCTTAACCTTTCAACTGTGCGCAGCCACAACTAGGGATATTCTTGCCAGTTATCTATAAACTGATCGACATGATCATAGATGATTTAAAGTATCGTGTAAGATTTAAAACTCCCATTGGCTCACATCTGCTTCCTCAGGCCTCCAGTAAACAGATGCCATATTTGAAAAAGTTGTGGGCACCCCTCCTTTGACAGAGCACCCATGAGTAGCACATGCAGCAGTAACTCACAGCTGCTTGCCAACTGTTATGCTGCTTGTGGCCACAGACCATTTAATAATGATGAAACAACTAATTAACTACAATTATTTAACAATGATAGTGCCAGTGAAGATCCTGATAGTGATAAAGAATATATACACTCGAGGAAAAGCATTCCTTTATCCCCCAGTTTTTTGGAAAGTGCAAAATGGCAACGCCGCTCTTGTTGTTGTCGTAGTATTGGGTTAGATTATGAAGGAATAGGTGCTTTGTAATGACAGGTCTCATTACTCAAGACGCCACACACCGGTTTATATAATTCACACTACTATCAAAAGGAAAATAGTATAGAACATTGAATAAAAATTAATATATGTAGATAAATGAAAAAGGGAGATGGCTCTACTTTTGTACTCAAGTGTTTATTGACATTGTTAACATTATAACGTATAATGATTTTACGTTTTGGCATTTGGCTGTCGATGCAAAAGACATGAGCGTGCGCACAACGATCCCCCCCATCATCCTCGCACCTCAGTCAACATCAATACACACAAATTTCTTTCAAGTTAACACTATCGCCCGCGCCACATGAGCGCCGCAGACTTTGACGTCATGGGGCTAATGGTGCGGGCGAGCGTGTGGCGACGCCTAAATGTGTATACTCGTTTTGGTTTTCTCGCCTTAATTCTCGTGCTATATCGTTTGTTTTGGTATCATTGTGTTCGCAATTAAATTCCCTGCAGATGTATATGCATATAATGTCCAAAAGCCTGGCGAGACTCCCCACAGCAAAGCCTAAAGCTGGAAAAGTTACCCGTGAGCGCACAAAATCAGTAAAATGTGTATACTCGTTTCAGTTTTCTCACCTTAATTCTCATGCTATGTCGTTCCTTTTGGTATCATTGTGTTCACAGTTAAACTCCCTGCAGATGTGTATGCATGTAATATCCAAAAGCCTGGCGAGACTCCCCGCAGCAAAGTCTAAAATTACCCATGAACAAGCACCAATTTGCACACCACAACCTAATGTGTATACTCGTTCAGTTTGATAACATAAATTTTCATGTTACATCGCTCGTTTTGGTATCAAATTGTTCTCAATATAAAGGCGCACATTTTAAAACTAGTCCCATAATAATAGCACAATAATTAGAATTTTAACAAATATTTAAAAATTTAAAATTTAGACCCAAAAACGTATTTATAATCTTTCAAGTGTTCTGACATCAAGTTTCGTGTTACATCTTTCATTTTGGTATCAAATTGTGCGCATTCTAAAGGCGCTTATCTTGAAACTATCCCGAGGTCGATTGGATAAAAAATGAATTTTATACAAATATTTTTGTAGTGGATACGAGTCCTGTTCACAGCTAGGACTCGAGAGAAAAAAAATGGACGTGATCGGTGTCCAAAGCGAGCGATACTGTTAAAAGTGGTTTGCAAACACTTTCATTTGCAAAAATAGTTTATATATGTATTTTATATGAATAATGGTATAAAGACCTAATTACACCCCAATTTCTGGGGGGAACCCCCTCGGCTCCCTGGGGGCTATCAGGCAAATATGCGATACAATGTTATTCACCAGGGCTTTAGTCAAAGGAGTTCAACCTATCAGGGACCACGAGCTAGAACCTGGCCCCCTTAGAGTGGCACAGGGAGCAATGGTCCCTGGAAAACCTCCTTGTGGTTGGGGGGGGCGTTCCTAATCTGCCTTCAACTGGAGATAGGCACCCAGAAAAGTAGGCATAACAAAACAGGCACTCACACGGTAAGAAAATTACAACCAATAACCGAACAGAGGCAGAATTTCCCCAAATCCCATGGAAACAATCAAACAAGCTAACGCCACACACTGCTGCCACTCCGCTGGTCCGAGTAGCCCATCCCCTCTCCCCGGACCCTCAGCGCCAACTACCCAGCAACCCCAGTTTGTTGGCTAAACCAATTCAGGGTGGACGTCATCCTTGGCCTTTGGTTTCCAAGTAGTGTTTACCTTCGTGGTGCCCTCTGCTGTTGGTGGTGTGGTGGCAAGATGTACCTGAAGTGTACCGTGGCTGCATGTGGTTAGGGCAGCCTTCCCTAAGTATCCTGTGAGTACTACACTTCCGAGTCAGGATTATCTTCCCTGGTGCATTCGAAATGCAATTTCTGTAGAGGTTTTTGCTGCTCGACATTTACCCTGCCCTTGGGACCAGCTGGGGTTTCGTGGCCCTTGTTTGGCCTTGGATAGGAAGTGGTATTGTTTCTGGTTCGAGCATCAAGGTGTTTTGCAGCCAGCCTACCTATGCAGCTGCTGGTTCCTGTTACCTCAGGGGACGTTCTCCTTTTGCGGAGTTTTTCTTTTCATTTTTATTTTTCTGAGGGGAGCTCCTACGGCTCCCTGGAGCTTATCGGCCTAATGTATGTTATATTAGACCGGGACATTAGCTATGGAGTTCAGACCTACCAGGGATCATGAGCTAGAACCTGGCCCCTTCAGAGAGGTTACAGGGAGCAATGGCCCTGGAAAATTCCCCTGTGGATGGGGGATATCCTTATCTGCCATCGACCGGGGTTAGGCACCCAGAAAGGTAGGCATAACAAAACAAACCCCACATGGTAAGAAACTAACAACAGAAGCCAAACAGGGAGGTAGAACTCCCTACAATCCCAAGGAAACAACCAAACAAGCATAATATACTACTGCTGCACCGCTCATCCATGCAGCCCTCCCATCCCAGAGAGTGGGAGGGGGGGGGGGCCGGACCTCACCGCGCCGGCTGCCTAGCACTCCAGTTCATAAGCCAATGTCAACCGGGACAGACGCTTCTCTGGCCTCGGTTTCCTAGGCGGTGTTTGCCTTCATGGTGCTCACTGCCGTGTGTTGTGTTGTGCGGTGGCCAGGTGTTCGTCATCAGTAGAGATTTCATTTATCTACAGGCTGCATGTGCTTAGGGGTTTCCTTCCCTAAGTGCCCTGTGAGTACTGCCCTTGCATGACAGGGTTATCTTCCCCAGGGCGTTTGGGAACCATTCCCATAGAGGTTCTTGCTGCTCGGCATTTGCCTCGCCCTTGGGGCCTTTGTTTAGCCTTGGGTTGGGACTCGTATTGTGCTGGTTAGGGCGTCAAGGTGTTGTGCAACCTGCTACCTATGTGGCAACCAGTTCCTGTTGCTTCTGGGGACGGTGTACTTTTGCGGGGGTTTTCTTTTGTTTTTATTTTCATTTGCCTGGTGGGGGTCTGCCTAGTTTGGCTATAGTTCCACTGGTAGTGTTTGGTGGCCCTCTGCTAGGCCCCCCATGATTGTACACGTTGCAGGGGTTTTCAGTGTTAGCATCTACCCCTTGTTAGCTTTAGGTATTAATCGGTTAGCAACACCTTGCCCAGGCCTACCGCAGCAGTCAGCCTACGGGCCCTGGAAAATCCGGTCGGGGCTCAGTGGACCACTGGATGTGTCTTCCGGGTTCCATCCCGTCTTGTGTGGGTTCGTTTGTTGCTGTGCCCTTGTCTCAGGGTGACAGTCGCTTCTTTTACCTCTGTCATGCTGCCTGTTGTGTCACTGGTTCACTGACACGTTGACCCAGAGTCTTTCGAGATGTTCTCTGCTTGTTCTCCAGTACTCTTCTGATGTCCTTACTGTTCACAGTACAGTACAGGCGGCATCTACGTTGCGAGCTTGGTTTAGATTGTGCAACATGCTAGGTTGGTTTCCCATCTGGATGCCCCGGGGCCACCCCGTTTGGTTAGGTGTTGTTCGCCCCTTTCTCCTCCCTGTTCCTGACGCCTGACCATCTGCGGGTTTCGGGGTCGGGGCGGGGTTTAGTTGGTGCCAAGACTCGGGCGGCTTTGGTGGCTGCCCCATTCGGGTTGGGGGACGGAGGTTTTCGAGCCTGATCCCTCCTGCCAAGGCCTCTGTCTGGATCTTACCAGTGGCCCTTTCTTTGCTGCTTTTCCTCTGGATTCTTGCTTTTCTTTAAGGGCAGAGGGCGTGGAGGACGGCTTTGCCCTGGGGCCTTCTGTTGCGGGTTCCCGGGGCTGTAGGGAAGTAGGGAATGCCCGCTTGCAGTTCTGGGGCTGTTTGCCCCTGCCTGGGTTTTCTGCTTCTGGGCAGGGTTTTTCGTCCCTCTCTTCTGCTTGCTTCCCATATTTGCTGGCGTGTTTTCGGATCTATTGCATCGGTCATGGCTCCTTGTTCTGGTGGCCATTTTCTTTGTGGGTTTTCTCGCTTGACCACCGCTGCATTGCTGTGGTTTGTTTACGTGTGCCTGGGTGTGCGAGCTCGCGTTTTGGGTGAGTTTTTTACCTCCTTCAGGGGTTTTATCCTCCTGTTGCCATTTCTTTGCTTTTCTGGGGTGTTCTGCCCTTCTGTTCTTCTAGGAATGCTTGGGTGTTGGTTTTTACACCGTTTTTTTGTGTTTTCTGTCTGTTTGGGTCTTGGCCCCAGGGTTTGGACTCCATGTCCCTGTCTATTTATGCTTGCTCCCACACCTTGTCCCTCGGTTTTTGGTCTGTTTTGGCCGTTTCCCTAAACTATACTATGCTATAATGTACTTTTGTAATTATTTCAAACTGTTCTTTGTAAATATTTCAGACAACTCTGGAAACATTCAGGGAAACCCAGAATATGTAAAACCAAGACTCGAGTCCACCCAAGATCTCTCTTCAGTCTCGCTCTCGGCAAATGCTACAAACACGAGAAAAAGTGAGTACAGTATATAAAATATTACTTTTTATTTGAAACTTTTATTATTTATCAATGAAGCTGATTAGCCACTGAAGGTTACTTGCTATCTTTAAAATTCCTAATGACTTGAGAAAGTTACAATATATGTACAAAATGTACATAAAGAAGTCCGCATAGAAAAGATAACATCTACTGTAGTTAGGATGTACAATGTTTACATGTGGCACGCTTATATTTGGTTCCTAAATTTTTTTCATACAGATTCAGAACCTTACACACTAGAAACAAATGATGGCAGCCTTAACAGTAAAAAGGCATGTGTAAATCCCAAGATGGAGAAAAATGTTAGTTGCCATAAGACAAATCTAGAGAGTTCCAGTCAACACAGCTTCCAAGCTAAGAAAGTAACTAGTACAGGTGAGTGTTAAGAGCTTTGTCACCCTGTATGAACACAAGTGCATGCTACTGAGGACATCTCATTATTAAATTAGTATACAATTATTATACTGTACATGTAATTTCCTCTTGATAATTAACCCTTAGAGGGCAGTTATCATTACATGTTGATTTAAGTTATCACATGATTTTTAAACAGATGTAAACATGTTTATAATACATCTACATGGATGTAATGGAATTAACCTACACCCATGAAAAGAATCTGCTATATTTTTGAACAGCTTAAATTAGACAAGCTTATCCTTCAATACCAGAAATTAATGTCGAATCACAATTTGGTTTTCCTATTATTGTTTGCATCTATTTATGGACAACATTACCAGACATAAGAGTAAGGGAGTGGGTTGCAAGAAACTTTCAGCTGTATTTGCAATATAAGTGTACATGCTACATTGTAGGCCTGTATACAGTACAGTACAACCTCGATTCAACGTACCCCGATTTGGCGAATATCCGGCTACGTCGCACACTTTTCAGGCCAAATTTACTCCCCCAGTTCGGCGAACTCTAATTCGCCAAAGCGGAGGATGTGCGGATTTGCTTATGATGTTGGGACAGAGTTCACAGACTGGTGGAAAACTTTCTCATTCTATCACAGGTTACAATTAATAATTCCTTCATATGACAAGTTGGATCACACAAGTGAACCATATTAACCAAACACTAGCCAGGGTGGTCGAGCCTGGCCTCGGGCCGGGCTTGGGGAGTAGAAGAACTCCCAGAACCCCATCAACCAGGTCCACACAATAAATGAACCATTTTAACCAAACACCCACCAATGCAATAAATTACAATTTACCCCAAGGTAAACAAGGGAGGAAAACCCCCTCACATTCAGGGCGATCAATTACCAAGCAGCAAAAGACCACAAAGATTGACTCCAAGACAACTTGATCTCACTGCATCTATGTTGGTGTATGCAATTTTCAGGAACTTGTTCCCCCCCCCCCTCCTTATTCTTCACTTCTCCTCCTCTAATGATTTTGTTGGTTTTTCTTTATGTACCACTTTACTGGTCTGCCTACCCCTATCACTTTGTAGAAAAAAAAAATTGATTTCTTCTTCATTCCTGCTCTCATTTAAACGTTTTGCCTTGGTGAAGTTCAGTTTCAGCTCCTCTCTGTCTTTTTTTGAAAGATCTCGTCTTAACGACCATACTTTTCCTACCTCATCACTTTGTAATTTTCTAGCATTCCTTAGTACTTCTTCCATCTGTTTGAAGATCACCCTGAACGGTGCCAAAGGTTGATCTTTCCCTTTTACATATTTTCCATTCCTTTTGTAGTCGCAGACATTCTCGATGGTAGTAAGACCTTCCACGAGGCCAACAAGTTTATCTACTACTTTCTCTTCTTCTACAGCTCTTTCTGACCTAGATGTTATCTCCTTTGCAACCAAAAATTATCAGAGACTTACTTCGATCAACTGTGTTTTGTACTAATTTAGGATTTGATGCCAGTTCCTTTCTGACTTCCAGCCTAATGTTTGTTTTATCCTGGTTGCTGCAGTGTTTGGCTTCCTTTACTACTGCTTCTATTTTTCCTTCTCCTTGGCCACTTGTGCATAGGTGAGTTGCATATCTTTCTTGCACTGTTCTATTCCCTGTGTAACTTCCTCCATCTGTACTGACAAAAGCTGTTTTTCCTGTTGAATTTCCTTACCTAACCTATCATAGTAATTTATGTTTAAAGTTACTTTAACTTCTTCCAAAGCTATTTTTGAGAGTTTATTTTCCTCTTCCATGTCTTTGTAATTCGTTTCCAATTGATTCTTGTCCTTGCATAAGTCTTTCACTAAACCCTCAAGACCAAAAACCTTGCTACTCAAGTGCTCATTACTTTTTTTTTTAAATTTGCTGATTATTTCTACATGATAGTTCACTATAATATCTAACTTTGCCAATTTGTTGTGTAGATTGCTTATATCAATGCTTTCTTCATTAAAACCCCCAAAATCTAGCTCTGTTTTGTTTTCCTTCTTGCTGGTAGCCATCTTGAATGTTGTCTGCACTGTAAACACTAGGGTCACTCTTTTTCATACAATTTTTCACTTCACTTTGCACATTCGTGTTCTCACCGATTTTTCCAAAGCACTACACATTTATGTTCCTTGGGACACCACTCACTATCATCAACCTGTACTACAATGCTTAGGAGTTGCGAAATAGCCTGGAGTTCCTCTGATGCAGGTGCTGACATTAGGGGTGTCACTTTTTTAAAGTTTTGTGTGTGTTTGTAATTATTGTAATTATCTAAGTGTAGTTACAGGATGAGAGCTACGCTCATGGTGTCCTGTCTTCCCAGCACTCTGTCATATAACGCTTTGAAACTACTGACGGTCTTGGCCTCCACCACCACCACCTCGCCTAACTTGTTCCAACTGTCTACCACTCTGTTTGTGAAAGTGAATTTTCTTATATTTCTTTCAGCATCTGTGTTTAGCTAGTTTAAATCAATGACCTCTTGTTCTTGAAGTTCTGGGTCTCGGGGAAATCTTCCCTATCGATTTTATCAATTCCTTTTACTATTTTACTGTTACTATGAGTCCTCCGTTAAAAAGAGTGATGTCCGGTAAGGACTTGGCATTGAGTCCTCCATTAAAATATTTGCCCAAAATCCGGTTTCTATCCGATTTGTTTGGGACTGGTTTTAAAATGTGCGCCAAAACGCCGCTTACTTCACGATGTTGGCAACCGGAAAATAGACTAAACATTTGTGGGTGGGAATTGGGGGTGTAGCGGGTGGTCATCTGGGCACTCCCTTGCGGGTAACACTTGGCACGTCTTCAGCTTGCCGGCGGATGGAGCATGACCAAGTTTTTTATTTTATATGCATATATTCCTCTAGAGAATTCTATTGCGAACCCTTTGATACCAAAATGAAAGACCTAGGACGAAAATTGAGGTTACCAAAGTGAAGAGTGTTCACATTTTATCGCTCTTGCGCACTCCCGGGTCACTCGCTCACGCTTTCTCTGTTTGCTGCAGGTGGTAAGCTGGGCTTTTGGAGTTTATATGCATTTACTCCTCTAGATAATTCTATTGCAAACACATTGATACCAAACTGAATATCGAAGGATTTGAATTGAGGTGACAAAGTTGAAAAGAGTATACACTTTTCAGAATTACCGCGCGCTCCCGTGGAATGCCCAAACCAACCGGGGATAGTGGGGAGGTCGTGCTCCCAGAGCGCGAAGGTGTTAATGTTATGTTAGAGAACATTAAATAAATGAATGGTGCTGAAAATACTTTATGCCAGGCTGCGTAGACCTAGCATCACGCAAGATAGTGTGAGGGTAGGTCCTGCACGTAGAGCACTAGAGAGTATTCTGCTGGTGGTGGTTGGCCGGCTTCTATTTATATGGGACTTGACCAATGTTGGTGGTGCTGGTGTGATAACTGGGAGCCGGTGGAGACAAACTAGCAGTGCTTGAGCTTGGCCGGTGGCGTGAACTTGTCGCCGCCAGGTGTGCTGGGGGTCACAGGAACTGAAGAGTAGGGGGAGTAGATCACTGTCTAGACATCTGAGCACTAGTTGTTGTTCTTGCTGTAATTCTTGAATATGTAGACCTGGTGTACTCGCCTAATTGTGCTTGCGGGGGTTGAGCTTTGGCTTTTTGGTTCCGCAAAGCGTGGTGTGGTAGAATAGGTGATGATGGAGCAGGCCTAATCTTTTTCTTAGAGAGATTACTGTGACAATATATATATAATATTACATTACACTACACATAGTAACATGACTATATCTGTGTTTAGGACCAGATCCCAATAGACCACCTTGTCGAAAAGCCAAAGAAGTACGCAGGGAACGTAAGGAGGCCAAACTTGCCAAAATTGCCCAAGAAGCAGTGACCAGAGGTGAATCTCCAATGGATACCAAGAAATTCAAGCCATCCAACACACAGAAAACTCTTGAAGATTATATTAATGAACCGCTTCCTGAGAACCCTGCACATAATCTCGAGGTAGGCTGATGTGATTTTGTATGTGACTTTTCTATATGTCTAATATATCTTGTATGCATGCACATTTGTTACTGAAATATATTTGATGTCGCTCAGTGATGGAATCACCCACACTGAGATCGTGTTTCCCACGTTGCTGTCAGCTGTAAATATCACCATTATTTTATTTTATTTATTCAACACGGTAGGATTACATATAATGATAATTCATTGTGTTGGTGGATAGGAAGGCTGTGTGTATTCATACACGGTAGACTCATATCGAGGGGCCCTTACCACCCCCCAGGTTGAATTACTGACCCCCGCCCAGGATGGTACCCCACAACAAGCTGACTAACTCCTAAGTACAGTACAGTATCTACTTACTGCTAGATAAACAGAGGCATTAGGTGAAAGGAAATGTGCCTAACCCTTTCTGTCCCGCCCGAGATTCGAACCTGGAATTTTCGATTGTTCATAGAGAACAAACCCGATTGTACTACCAGGACCCTTTAGTTCTGGAGGTGCCAGGATCACACCCTAGGCCTTTTACATATACTGTATATAGAGTGGTACCTCCATTTACGAATTTAATTCATTCCCAGGGACTGGTCGTATCTTGAAAATTTGTAACTCGAAACAATTTTTCCCATAAGAAAGAATGTAAATTGAATTAATTTGTTCCACATTCAAAAATATTAAAAATACATTTTATTCAGAATAATACTCATATTTTTCATACACAAAACAATCGGGTATAAATATGAAGCATAAATAAAATAAGTGAAAATTTAACTGTACTTTACCTTTACTGAGGACTCTTGGTGGCATATGGTAGATGGTGAGGGAGGGAGGGAGGAGGCGAAGCCATTCACTGCTCGCCTTGAGGCCATGAGGCTTCATATTTGCATCACTGGTTCCACATTTTCCTTTCACACATTTCCCTGCCTCTGTTATGTGGCAGCCAGTCAAAACCAGTCAGTCACAACGTGTCGGTCAAGCATTCAGTCAACACCAGTCACAGGCAGTCAAACATCTCATTGTTGTAGTAGCAACCCGTTAAACATTTACAGTCAGTCACGCATTCACAGTCAGGCATTTACAGTCACAACCAGTCAGTCACTAGACAATAAATTTAATATCAGACACTCAGGGAGTCTGCCTCTTAATCTATCAGCTGGTAACAAGGAAGCCCACCCATATTAATATTGTCCATATGGCTGGGAGTGGGTACAGGTGGAGGAGGTCAGTGTGGGGGATGAGGAGATGGAGGTAGCGGGGAGGAACCGGTGTGTGGGATGGAGGGGTCTTGGGGAGAGATCGGGAGTGACCAGCTCCTGCGTTAGTCCTACCCGGAAGCTGTTCCACTCGTGCCACTGCTACTCGCCCACCCATTCTGACCACCCGTCTTGTTACTCATCTGCCCACCCACTGTCACCTGACTGCCCTGCTTCCCACCCACTCTGTGCCTGCCTTGCCACCCACCTCCTTAGTCTCCCACCACCTTGATCTACCATCAGCCACCCACCACCTTGATCTACCATCAGCCACCCACCTCCTTGATCTACCATCAGCCACCCACCACCTTGATCTGCCATCAGTCACCCACCACCTTGATCTACCATCAGCCACCCACCTCCTTGATCTACCATCAGCCACCCACTACCTTAGTCTACCATCAGCCACCCATCACCTTGATCTACCATCAGCCACCCACCTCCTTGATCTACCATCAGCCACCCACCACCTTGATCTACCATCAGCCACCCACCACCTTGATCTACCATCAGCCACCCACCTCCTTGATCTACCATCAGCCACCCACTACCTTAGTCTACCATCAGCCACCCATCACCTTGATCTACCATCAGCCACCCACCTCCTTGATCTACCATCAGCCACCCACCACCTTGATCTACCATCAGCCACCCACCACCTTGATCTACCATCAGCCACCCACTACCTTAGTCTACCATCAGCCACCCATCACCTTGATCTACCATCAGCCACCCACCTCCTTGATCTACCATCAGCCACCCACCTCCTTGATCTACCATCAGCCACCCACCACCTTGATCTACCATCAGCCACCCACCACCTTGATCTACCATCAGCCACCCACCACCTTGATCTACCATCAGCCACCCACCTCCTTGATCTACCATCAGCCACCCACCACCTTGATCTACCATCAGCCACCCACCACCTTGATCTACCATCAGCCACCCACCACCTTGATCTACCATCAGCCACCCACCTCCTGGATCTACCATCAGCCACCCACCACCTTGATCTACCATCATCATAAAATGATCTCTTGTTTTTCCTCTATTGTCATCCTCACATGCGATTTCTTTCCTTGAACCTTACCTCTGGCTTTCTCGGGACCCATTGCGAGATATATAATAACAACTTTTATGTTCAAATGGCCAATAATATATCCAAATATCAAACAAAACACTGTAAAGCCTGGTGAAGAATTCAGGAGGGGGATAGTCACTGGTAAATTAAGGGGCAATCGCCGTGCCACCACCCACGAGGTCGACCCGTGTGCGTATCAACATTCTCGTATCCCGAGGCAACGCTCGTATCCCAATTCAAATTTTCCGAGCAAATCCTACTCGTAACCCGAAAAACTCGTAACCAGGGACGCTCGTAATCCGAGGTACCACTGTATTGTAAAGGCACATGAGGTTGTTTGGATAATTATTAAATACAACAATTATTATTATGATAATTATTATAATAATAATTGAAAATATTTAATAATTATCACTCTTCCTTCTACTTGGTCTTGAAGGAGGCCGGCCTCGGGTGAAAAGGGGCTGTGACGATCCTTGTCTGGAACCCGTAAGTGCGGGACCGGGACATCCATCTCCCGAGGGTTGTGCGGCCCAGGCTCTGCTTCAGGAGGCTGGGGTCGTTCATACCCTTGATGGGGTGGTTCTTCTCCGGCCCCGACCACGGTGGTCTCCAGGGTTGGAGGTCCCTGTGCCCTTCTTCACCACCTTCGAGGTCAACCCCGGAACTCACAGTTCCTTCGACGGCGCTGGAACTAATTGTATTGGCGCATGCCTTTCCATTGGAGACTTTCAGCGCCGTGGAGAGGGGGGACCTGCTGCCTGGGTAACAGCTTCTCCCCCGAATCAACCTACCCTGGCTCTGCGCCCTGGTGAGGCCACTCCAGACCGACAACCAGAGCGCAACTCCATAGTCTTCCGAGACTGATGGATGCCTACTGACTGACTGAGGTTGTTTCATGGTGCATGGATGCATGAAAGAATGACCGAGTGTTCTCTCTCTCTCCCCCTCTTTCTTGCCTCATGCTGTGAACATCATAATTGATATCTGAACTTTGTACATAGTCTTTATCACAGTCGGGATCATTTATCACAGTCAGGAACATCTATGACACTATTATCACAAAATAATTGCACTTATTTTATTCATCATAATTAAGTGGTGCTGTGGCCCTGACCTGCACAGCTGTGCTCCTGCTGCATTCACCAGCCTTGGTTGCTCTGGCAGTACTGAGGCTCTCACAGACAGGAGGGATGTAGGTGATTTTTTTTTCAAAATGGCAATGTTTACTGGAGTCCTGATGAATAGGATGTGAGCCATCTACTCGTGGGTTTTTTAATCCTACGATATACTAACAAACGTGATATGCTGGCATGCTCTTGCCTTTTCCCAATGGTATAACAGTGTGCGCAGTACAGTGGCTAGCTAGCCTGCAGTTATATCCTTGGGCCTCTTGATGTTCGCAAGTTTGCGGCATTGTTCCCAGTGTTTTCGGACATGTTATGGGCTAATATTTGGGCTTCAGGTTTGGACGTTTAACAGGTTTGTTAAACCTCCTAAACCGTTACCAACTCCATGCGGATATTACCGACTCCATACGCCATACCAACCATGGTATGGCTGGCCATACCACGTTGAGAACACAGCTTCTCGTCCAATCAGTGAAGTTAAGCAACATCGGGTTTGGTTAGTACTTGGATGTGTGACCGCCTGGGAACACCAAATGCTGTTGGCAATAACTTTTTCAAGTTTGGCCTCGGGCTGGGCTTGGGGAGTAGAAGAACTCCCAGAACCCTATCAACCAGGTACCTCATCAATGTCTTGGGTCACTGTCAGGATTGTGTTGCTCTGTGTCAGGTTTTCTGTTCTAGCATCTTTTCTTTGTGATTGTTGTTTTGCTCTCCTCCTCCATTGTAAGTTTCATGTTTTCCTTCTACTCTGCTGTTAGCTTCAGGAATCCTCCATTTGACCCCTCCAGAAAACCAGCTTTGGACTGAGATTTGGGCGACATGGTAGCCAAGATAGTTTCCATGTGCCCTAGGGTTCCTTGGAGTCATCTTTTTTGGAAGTTTTCTTTCTCTTGGCTTTTTCTTGTGGCAGTTCAGGAGGCCCTTGGCGTGCACCTCCTGCGAGACCCTGTTCATGCCTAAAAGCTGCTATTGGCACTGCTACCTGTTGGTGGTCAGCCATATCTGGGGTGAGTGAATGGTTTACAGAGTTATTTGCTGCTTCATTTCCTTTCTCTCTGTGAACCTTGCAGGTGTCTGTATTGCTTTGCTTACATTTGAATGTTTTCTTTGTGAGGATGATCATGATGGTTCCTTGCTAACTGTGCCTCTGTGAGGGGGCAAGGATGTGGCTCTGGTCCCTGGTAGGCCATTCAGGACTCTTTGAGGCTAATGTGATTCTTCCTTCCAGAGCTTCCTTAGCAAGTTAGCTTCAGGGAGCCACCAAATCCCCAATCAAAACATGTTTCATTGCATTCAATGCTGGATTTCTATTTTTTTTTTTATTAACATTACTTAATGTCTGGTTGTTGTTTTAAGTTCTATTTTTCTATACAGTTATCCGTATTTATCCGTATCTTGCCTGTACTGTATCTTTTAATGATTATTACTACCTACATAAAATTCAGTAATACTATTTTGTGCCATTAGCCATTCAGTTCAAATATATTTTAATGGTTAAAGTGACCATATGTTTTATTGATAAAGACAATTGGGGTTATTTAACCCCCAATTTAAGTAACAATTACTTGTACAATTACTGTATTTTTACTATGTTTTGTTTCTTTGTCACTGCATTAGTGTGTTTGTCAATAAGAGGCCTTTAAAAGAAATATGTAACTGTACAGTACTAACATTATGATGCCTTTGAATAAAAATGGGCTCTATTTTTTAATTAGATGTTAAATATGTACAGGACACAATTTACCGTATGAGGCATTTGTTAAATATTTAAAGATGGTGACTAGTTTTACAGGTAACAGATCAGATTAATAAATAGCTCAAGAATGATATAAAACATTGAAAGGTAATTGTAAAATTGAAAGTATTTTTATCTAAACTTTTGTCTCTACCTAAAGAACAATTAAAGATTCTTCAGCAAATGTTATAAATGTTGATGAATCTTCTGTATTTAGAGTTTTTGAGATACCAGATTGTAAATGTTATTCCCTACTTTAAATGTGGAAAATGGCACAAAATTTACATCATTAAATTAAATTAATATTGTGTTGAAACACCCAGGTTAAATTAGTTCGCTCGCAACCAAGCAGTGCTGAATTTCTTCAAACTTTCAAGATGGCTCACCAACTGTATGAAAAGTACCAGGTTAACATCCATGGAGACACTCCAAGCAGGTGTTCTGAGCCACAGTATAAGAGGTTCCTGTGTAATTCTCCGCTCGAGGTAGTACACTCGTATGTGCATGGAATTCAGCAGGTTTGGTGGTAGGGAGAAATCGGGAGGATCTATCGGTTTAGTTTCTCTTAACTTAGCATACTGTAGTTTTAATTATAATTTTAATTTTGTGTGAAAATTGTTTAGCCAGTATTAGATGGTCATTATAATATTTCAGTGCTATATTACCGTATTCTAATTTAAAAAATATTAATCTTGTATTAAGAACATGAAATTGGAGTTTGTAGTACAAGACAAATTACCATTATAATAGTCAAACAAATTTGTCAAAGCCAATTTTCTTCCAAGCTCATTAACCCTATTAGATTTCCTTGAATTTTGATTGCATTTACTAATGTATCTTTCCTGATAATGACAACATGTTTGGGCCCATTGACCAGGAAGCTGAAGTATTTTGACATACTGTACTTCTTTCCACAACCGATTTAAAATAAAAACACGCTATCTTGTTATCAATACTAGTACTGTAGTTTGTTATATGCATAGAAAATACAAAGGAATGACTTCGAGTTTTCAGATATCTAATAGACAGAATTATCTATAAAACTATGCAGGCGATGAGTCACAATAACGTGGCTAAAGTATGTTGACCAGACCACACACTAGAAGGTGAAGGGACGACAATGTTTCGGTCCGTCCTGGACCATTCTCAAGTCGATTGAGAATGGTCGCGGGACGGACCGAAACGTCGTCGTCCCTTCACCTTCTAGTGTGTGGTTTGGTCAACATCTATAAAACTACTTTAATAAAAAGTTATCATGGTTTTAATTGGGTAACGATGACATTTGGAAAAGTACTACCATTATGAGTAAAAAGGCAAGACACCCATTGATGTTCCTTAACTATCACTATCTTAATTTAATTTGTCTGGGTTAATTTAGAATGGCTACGTTACAACACCATTCAGGCTTTCACACACATTACATGTTCTCTCCCTCTCTTCTTTTGCTTCTCTTTCATTACTGTATTTCTTATCCAGCTATGTAATATCCTTGTCATCAGCTTTGGTTGCTGTAAGATTGATAGCTCCTTCTCATTTAGCTAACGTGGTTCTATGCCTCACTTTGTAGTTTCTCTTCACAATTCGGCTCCACTTTGGCCTTGTTTTTCGGGGAGTTGTAGCACCTGCGGTCTTGTTGTTGACATTTCATGTTGATGAGGTATTTATTACATTGTTTGCTGTGCTGCTTTATAATGTGGTGTCAAACTTCACAGCCTGCTTCACTAGCATGTGGGCCATTTTTGGACATTGCGGTACATTGCTCAGTCACCTTTACTGCAGTTGTTTTCTCCCTTTGTGCTTCCTTTCCCTGCTGAAGGAGTACAGTTATTTTTGGGTACTCCCTCGACAAAGAAGTGTAAACAACCTGCTTGCCTCGGTCAACTGGGAATGGTGCACTGGTTGATATGTGATTAGGGCTGAGAGTATGATGGTTGATGTGATCATGGCTGAGAGTGAATATGATGGTTGACATGTGATCATAGCCGAGAGTGAGTATGTCGGTGGACAAGTTTGCTATTTGTTTGTGAATCTTTAACCAACTTAGAAAGCAAAAATGTAAGGGGAGACATTTCTCATGTTATAAGTTGAGAAAAGTTTTCTGGTTCAAATGTCACAAAGTTTTTATTGCAGTTCACAAGTACAGTACAAAACTGCACTATTATTAGTCTCGAGTAAAGGACCTATGTTTATCCCCTGCGCTGCACCACTGTTTACAGCTGACAACCTCTCCTGGTGCTCAAGAAAACAATAAATTACAAATAATTGTTCTTTATAATATCATTGAAGTGTTCCTACATTATGGGGAACTCGCAAATATCTTGGTGGGTTACAATTCTCAAGCATTCGTGGAACAGTTGCTAATGGGGCAGTCACCCCTGTCCCAATGTTGGGGAAGGGGGTGGGGGAATTGCTGCAAAGATATATTTAGATATTTATTTCAATGTCTGATTTGTTTTCTGGGGGGAGCCCCAGTGGCTCCCTGGAGCTATCCATGGCTGATATGGATACCCTAACTATTTTGCATCAGTCAATGTGGGTGGAGTTTTAGGCCTACCGGGGACCACGAGCCAGAATCTGGCCCCCTCACAGAGGCACGAGGAGGAATGGCCCATAGAAATGCACATGTGATTTGGAGCATTCTATATCTGCCATCGACCCGGATAGGTATCCAGAAAGGTAAGCGCCACAAAACAAACCCCTATTCTGGTTAACAACGAAAATCTTCCAACGAGTGGACAGAACCCCCAAAAGAAAAATGAGCAAACGAGCATGACGTCACACGAGCCATGCCGCATGTCTGCGCAGCTCTCCCCTCCCCAGGAGGGGGAATGGGGAGCCCCAGACCCCCGAGCCGACGATCCTCACCCCAGTTCCTCGGCTGATGGGATCATGCATAGTCGTGTGGCTCCAGCTTCAGTCTTCTCTGTGCTGTGACTTGTTTGCAGTGCTGCTCTTACTGTGGTCGTGCGAGCTGGGAGTAATATTCTCAGGTACTCGGGCTGCATGTGCTTAGGGTTACCTTCCCTGAGTGCCCTGTAAGTACCGGGCTTGGGGTTCCCTTCCACAAGTCACCTTGGGTTGGCCTTTCGCTGCTTGGCGTTTGGCCACCCCAAGTGTGCGAGTGGTTTCCACCCTTGTTTGCCTTGGGGTAAGTGGTAGTTATTGCACTGGCGGGGCTCAGGGTACTGTGTAGCTAGTTTTCACCTTTAACAGCGGTCGGCTCTGTTCTCTTTGGGTACATTGTCCTCTTGCGAGGTTTCTCTTTTTTTGTTTTTGCTTCGTAAGGAAGGGGGGGCCTGCCTTGTGTTCTCCCTCCCCCTTATATTAGGGTCGTTGTGTGGTGGGACCCCCTGCTTCACCCTCGTGAGTAGACACAGCTTTTAGCAGTTTGTTTGGTAGTTTGGGGCACCAGTTAATAGTACCCTGTCATGACGTGCCTGGGATAACCCTTTGCAGATCCAGCCTAGGGGCCCTGGAAAACCCCGCGGGGGCGCTCGGGTCCGATGGAGGAGACCCCTGCGTCCCTTCTCGCTTTGTGCGAGTTTGAGGGTTGCTCTGTCCCCTAGTCTCAGGGCGACGCTCATTGTTTTTGCCTCCGTCATGCTGCCTGTTGGATCGGTAACACATTCGACTCCGAGTCCAAGCTTTGTTGCTTGTTTGACTCGATTCACCCAGATTGATGATGATTTTCTTCGGGTGCAGGCAGCACGCGCATTGCAGGATAGGTTTGGATTATTGCAACGCACTCGGGGTGTCGCTTCCCCGGACACCCCGAGGCTGCCACGCTTTGCCTATAGGGACTCGGACTTGGGGGTGTTGGTCGCTTCGGCCATGGTTTCGTCCGCACCCCCTCGTTCTTCCCCTTCGGTGGTTCATTTGGTCCCCCCCCCCCTGCTTCCAGCACCTAAGTGTCTGAGGGTTTTGGGGTTGGGGCAGGGTTTAGAGCTTTCAGAGTCGGGCAGTTTCGGGGGCTGCCCCGTCCAGGGTAGCTGCGAAGGCATTAGTCTGTTCCTTTTGCCGTTGCTCCGGGGTCTTACCAGTGGGCCCCAAGCTGCTCGTGACACATGAGCTGTGCAGACAAGCGGCGTGGCTCGTGTGATGTCATGCTTGCTTGCTCGTTTTTCTTTTGGGAAGTTCTGTCCACTGTTTGGAGGATTTTCGTTGTTAACCAGAATTGGGGTTTGTTTTGTGGTGCTTACCTTTCTGGGTGCCTGTCCTGGTCGATGGCAGATATAGAATGCTCCAAATCACGTGTGTATTTCTATGGGCCATTCCTCCTCTTGCCTCTGTGAGGGGGCCAGGTTCTGGCTCGTGGTCCCCGGTAGGCCTAGAACTTCACCCACATCGACTGATGCAAAATAGTTAGGTTATCCATACCAGCCACGGATAGCTCCGGGGAGCCGGGACTCGCCCAGAAAATGGCGTTTCATTACATTCAATGCTGGTTTTTTTCTTGTTTGTGCACTATTATTATTTAATGATGTGGAGCATCAGTATGTTCAAATATATTCATTACTAATGTGGGGACAATATTATATTCTTAGAACAATAGAACAAACTGATTTTGCTGTTATTACATTGTGTATGCACATTGTATTTAATGATCTATATTTTCATTCGCGATTACAAACCACGAAGCAGTTCTGGTGGGTATAATAATCTTGATTGTAACCAGTGATTAGAGTTCAGCATAGCCCCCCATACTTTGCACGAAGCTGTATCTGTTAGCATTGAATATATATTCTTCATATTTTTAATGTTTTACAATTATTTCTTCATGTGCAATGATGCATTAAGCTGTTAATAATGTAATTTGTAACATATATGTGTAGAACAGATGGGATCTGAATCAAAATAAAAAACAATAAAATCTACTGTTTTTGCTGTTATTACATTGTATTCATATGTTATATATAACTATTTACATTGTTTAGCACTATAATAAACCAATAAGCTGTTTTGGCGGGTCCAAATAGCACAGCGACACTCTCTAGTCGGCCGATGACTTAGCGACCCTCAAAGGAGACCCGATCAACGAGGCTGTGACCCGTATGTCAGATTGTGTGCGGCTGCATCGAACAGCCTGGTTGATCAAACCAGCAACCAGGCAGCCCGGTCAGAGACCAGGTCGTGGGGGACACTGATCCCCGAAATCAACAGGTAGACAACAGGTAGGTAGATAACACCACCTGACTCTGCCAAATGCCTTGCAGTATTGCTGCGCACAACACACACTCTTGCAACAAGCGCTATTATCATCACAATCCTTGTCACTAAATCCTGAATATGAATCATTTTCTACAAGTTCATTTTCTAAAGGAACGTGAGGTCCCATTTCATGATGCTTAGATGCACACAGCTGTGCACTGTGTATATCAGCCTTGTGCTGTGAAGATTGTAACCAATATTGGGTAAACTGATATCTGAAGGCAGGCGATGAGTCACAATAACGTGGTTAAAGTATGTTGACCAGACCACACACTTA